CAAACACGCGAACACGTCGTTACCGCGGAATTCTGCATTGGAAGTGAAGATATGTGTAATGCACAACGAACTCTTGAACTGTAACATACAAGTAACGCACAACGAACGAAGTTAAAGTAACAGCCTATGCATAAGTGCTCAGTCTAAAGGCCCATTTACACGATGCCATTTTCTTGTACATACAAGAGCAATAATTGAATGCAATAAATTGCGCGCAATAATTTGTTAGACCATTTGTTGTTTAGACCATGCAACTCATTTATTGCTTCAATTAAATTGTATACAACAGGCAAGAAACTTGCACCGTGTAAATGGGTCTTAAAGTGTTCTTTGGCCGTATGTAACATGAATTCATGCGTTCTAGTTATAGTCAACTTCAGCCGCATTTGACATTTATCCTGAATTTTTATATCGGAGCGAAACACTACAAATACGAATATTTTAAATTTTTTTGTTGTTGCAATATTATGTGTGTTAATATTAGATATATATTGTACAATACAAAGGTATGTATTTTCCATACCTTATTATTACTACTTCAATAACTGGATAAAAAAGATGGTCAGAGAAAACTTCTCGATAACAATATTGCTAATATTGGCATCAAGAAGTCATTGCTGGGAGCGGTAACCCTTAAATATTCCTGAGCTTCGCTCGTAACAGTGTGTCAAATATTGAGATACGGTATTGTTCTTCGATTAAGCCAGAAGTACCCGGAGGACCGAGCTTTGCTCGGTTTGTTTATTTTTTTGGTAAATCGTGTATTTTGGAAATTACATTTAGATATAAATTACTGAGTAATGAAATATGCATAATATTTTTCGATCTTACCGACTTAATAATAAGAAAATATGAACTGATGTTTTTCTCAAAAGAAAGAACTTTTAAAAAAAGGGAAAAAATAACAAAAAAAGAAATCGATAAAAAAATTAAAAATAAAGAAAGCAATGATCTGGAATCGAAAAAAAAGTAAAAAAATAAATGTGTAAATTATGGTGACGCTAACCACGGCCTTCTGTTTTGGAGCCGCCCGATTACCGACCGAGCTATTACGACATTTTCGCTTGCGGCGAAATTTACCGTCATATTCGAATAATATTTTTCATTCCCTGAAAACAGGGATAAAAGGACATTTTCTGAAAATGAAACCCTTAAATAAAGTGGGCCCCGGCTACTACACTCACGCAGACGAAACGCAGAAGTGTAACGCTTCTACTTAACTCACTCTTCTCTCTCACTACTTACCCGGACTTTTCGACCTGCCCAGCCAAGATATTGACTTCGGTGCCAGGGGTCGTTAGTTCGACTCCAACAACTATTTGTGTGACCCACAGATAACTGTTTCGGATCTGGGTGCACACTTAAAATTTATTTTTGTAAAACATCAGGCACAGTATAATCTTATCCTACGGTAAGAACAGTGTTTTAAAAAAGGAGCGAAAAGTTTCTCGCCGCTGTGGGAATCGAACCCACGTCTTCTTTTCTTTCCTTTTTTCTGCAAATCTTTTAGTCATTAATTTAATCGCAATGTTATGATAAAACAGACAAATACTATTCCTTCCTTAGTGGTTTACAAAATCCTGATGATAAGCCTACCTAAGATTATCAAACACGCTAGTAATAACAATAAAGTTCGTTTTTGAATCGGTGCATCGGGGTTTTTTACAAGAGAATTTGTATGATACACAAACAAACAAATTATCTCTATCTGTCCAAGAGTTTCCGTTTATTAATTTACCACGCATTTTTATTTAAATTACCACGAAGTAGAAATAGATCCTAGACTTTATGGAAAACACCTAAAGACTTTGACTTCATGACAGATATATTTGTTCTATCAAAGTCACTGATTTATGCCCAGTAATATCGTTAATTACGAAAACGCCTGTTCATTTTATTGCAGTTTGTCGAACACAAACTTTCATTATTATTGGCAGTGTGCCTTTATTCAGCTATTTATTTCAATCACAATGCAATACGGCTATGTTACATCAATCGGTAAAACCAATTTTATATTATTAATAACGTTTATTTATTATATATTATTAATAACGTTTAATATTATAGGATTATGCGTTCCATTCAAATTTCACTTGCAAAATTAATTAAGTCGGGACACGGGTAAGGCGTCCGCTAACATAAGTAATTCAGTTATAGAGCAGTGCTTGAACTTTAAGGTTTATGGAGACGAGATATATCTAAGAACTCGGCAATTTATACGATTTCCTGCAGTTTAAATGTATGTCATTTCATACTACTCAACGGAAATATATCTTAAGTTGGGTATGTACAAACTCAATAGTAAACACCAGAAACATAAGGAATGCGTGAATGAAAACTTCGCATAATTTGATAATATAAACAATCCTATCGACGACTTGAACAATTAAATGATAATAGATAATTAAGTATAAGTAAAAGATAAATGTTTATTTATACCAAGTGACGAGTATTACATTAGTTGTAAATATGGAGAAAGAGTTTTAACGCTTATAGATTGGATATTGATTTAGCTAAAAGTCACGGCTAGATGAAAACTACTCTCGAAAATTTGTTTATCACGGTGTACATGTAGTGGGTACTATAAATGTTAAATACATACATTTGTATGTATCTCCCTTCATATGTCTATGCCTCCGCTGCCGTACGAATGGGCAGGTCCGGCCGCTAAAGTACCACGACCTCACAGAAGACCGGCGTAAAGTGGAAGTGGTATACTTTTGCGTTTCGTCTGGTGAGTGAGGTAACTACCACTACGTCGGGCCAACTTTTTAAAGGTTCTCAACGCATCTGCAAGCATTTGGCTATTGTAGATGTTGTGGTCTGTGTGTCGCTGTGTTGGCGGCGGTAATCACTTAACATCACAAGAACCGCCTGCTCGATTGACAACTTTCACTTAAAAAAAATAGTTTCATAGTATCGATATTGCTACAAATTTGATTACATGGCATTAAGATAAAAAATAATAAAAAACCTAATATACGATATGAAGGCCCTGATGACATTTTTCACGTAATAAAAACAGTTTCATAGTAGCAACATTGCTATAAATCTGATTACATGACATTGAGATAAAAAAAAATACATAATATACCATATGAAGGCCCAGTTACCATTCCCAGATTCCCAGCCCGGACAAGCGTATGTATGTCCTAAGATAATTATTTCAGATCTGAGTGTTCGCTGCTGTTTAATGGAGATTGTAAAAGGCCTGTATAACAGAAGATTTTCTTATCCCACGATAGGCGTAAAGGAAGATATATAAAATATTCAATAACAAATTGAGGTTATTTAACTAATGAGTCTCTGTCGTAAATGTAACAATGGCCTAGGCTTTGCTTATAGCAGATAATCCCGGCAGCAGATAAAATTCTGCAGCACGAGTGGGTCAGCCCGTCCCCTGGAAGCACCACGTCTTCACAGAATACCGATGTCAAATCAAACTGAATGACGCAATCGAAACCCAATCCTTTAGAAGTTCGTAAGGCATTTACAACCCCACTGGCGTTGTAGAATTGCCTGCTCGCTTGCTAAATACGTAGAAAATATACCAATGTAAAATAAACTCTACCGCCATATTCGATAATGTTACAAATAAAATTATTTTAAAATAACAAATGTTTCCAATCCGGTGTTGTTTATATGTACATAATTTAATAATATTTTTCATAATTTTTAATTAATTGCAGTAATACTAGCGATAAAATTTATGTCATTTAGCAGTGCCTTCGTGTTTCTGTGTGTACCACTAAAGGTGGGCGGATTACGATAGAATGCGGTCTATCTTTGCATGCTACTCTTGGCATGTTTGTCCTGTTTGGAGGCGATTTCCAGCCTTGGTACGAGTATGACTCCGTTCCCACAAAACAGTTTTCCCTTAACAAAATCGAAGCACTTTGGCAAACTTGGATAGAGCTTAGTTCCCCGTATAGGAATTGAATGCATAATGTTAGAACGCGAAAGCTGTTCAAGAAAATTATTGCAAGTCATATTTACCACCTCTGCACAAGGGAGAAAGCTCATTGGTCCCTACCGCAAAATAAGTAGCTGATCTTTCGGACAGTCTTTTTGCGTCTAACTCGATTTTTGATGATTCAAGTCAATTAATTTCACTTTTCTTCATTAACGTTTACAAGTCGAATAGTCCCGAAAGATTCTTGTTTGTTGCATAAAATGGCATGCTTTTGGATTTCACCTTGCGTGAATTTGCATTAAAATTTGTCTCATTATTCTCAAATAAATAATCATATTAATTTGTTCTATAAATAATACTTTGTGTCATTCATGCTATTTATAAAGGACCTGGACCTTAACAAATATATAGTATCTGTTTCTTTTTTATTGAAAGTAGTTACACAATTTTGAAAAATTACAACCACCCAAAAACAAAACAAAAATTATATTGACCCACAAAGATTTGTTACCAATTATTTGATCAAACTCACAGCATGACACGCAGTAGTAGTGTTGCAGTGTAATAAACCTAAAATAATGTGATTTCCCTGCAGTAAACTGTTGAAACTATTTCTAATATTGTTAAATGTCTACCAATTATTATTCAAAATAAACTAAAACAGAAAATAGAAGATTGTGCTCCATACTTTAAATTCAATGCAATAAATAACCATTTGTTGGATTAACCTAAACAATATACATAGAAAAAATTTTTTTACGGAAATTTGACTGCATATTTTCAAAACAAATATTAATTTAAATACAAATTGAATAATTTTTTTAAATCTATTTTTATTTCAATATTACATTATTAATTTTTAATATTTGTTATTTGGAATAAACTTGCTTTTTAGAAAAACTAAACTGGAATACCATAAAAAAACACAACACAACAACAAACTTGACATTTCAAACTATTTAATAAATTAAATTCTAAGACAAAAGATAAATATCTAGGTATTTTCCTATATTTAAAGAAAGAACATATAATTTAGTCATTGTTCTATATTTCTGTTTGTAAATTATAAAATGTATAATCATCATTACTTGGTAGATACCCTGGTGCGACGGTTCCATGAGAAATTAATGCCATAGCTCTTTGGTTTGAATTCCTTATCAGTTTTTGGACAATCCAAATACCAGATCCAGCCATTCTTTTCACAGTGTTCTATGGCTTCATCTGGGGATGAAAATTGAATTTTCATATTTGATAATGGATCACCAGTAGATGTCCAGCCCATAAGGGGATTTTCCCAGCGTTGGCGAGTATCAAACTCCATTTCCCAGTGGTGAATATTGTTGGTGCCACTTTGCATGGCATTCTTTGATGGTTGATAAATGCGAACACGACGGGTTCTGATGTGCTCTTCTGGCACACCAGATATTGGTGTTATGTCAACCTGAAAGAATAACCTTAAATTTGCTAACATATTGGAAATAATGTAATGCAAACATGTAAAACTATTGTGTTTAAATCATAACAACTTGTGTAAAGATTGAGACAAAAAATATTCATAAATGAAGTATTCTTTTCATGAACACAATTATTTAAATATAAAACCGGGAGGGTTTAGGGGTTTGGGGTTTTCAAACATAAAACCGGAGAGAAACTACTTACCTTCTTCGGAACTGTTATCGTTGACTCAAGTGCGCTTTTCTCACGGGCTTCCTCAGGCAAAGCCAAAATTGCTTCGTTATCAATTTTCGGTGCCTCTTTACGGCTTGTTGGATCATTGGTCGATGCAAATCGTGCATTGCAGGTTGAAAGTGATGGAACTGATCTGAAATTAAAAGTAGAATATCTCATTAAGGAAACAAAATTATATTTCAAGAATATTTAATATTTCATTATACCTCGATATTGCAGCACGAGATAATTTGCTCGTATGATGCAAAACTTGAAACATCTTTGTAATTAAGAACCTTTTATTCACAATTAAATCTTATTTCTTCTGATTACTTAACTATTTGGTTATTTTTGACATTGACAGCTTAAAGTGACGTATTGCTGATAGTGATGAAGTCGAGGCTGCTGTCGAGAGCCAATTCTACTCACTAAATTAATATTATAATACGTTTTTTTTTTGTGTAGTTTGCTGTTAGCCCAGGGGTTTTGATAACATCGTTGAAAGAGATGACTGGGACTCAAAAGAAAGAACACGTAGCTCGTGAACGACGGCGACAGGCTCCGAAGCATCTCCGCGACCTCTGTTAGAGAAAAACAAACATTTCAAATAATGTGAGGCACGAGTCGATCTAAGGAACCATTCCGATGGAGGTTTGAACCTCGTTTTGAATTGCTATCGACAGTGGAACCCACCCATAGGAAGCAATAAGGTTGGAATTACGATTTAATCACGACTCATATTGGTGATTGAACCGATTCAAAAGTGGTACACGAGGGCCTCACACTAGCTGTCGAGTGTGTTGAGTCATGTTTTGCTTGCCCCCTCCAAGCGGGTTCCTGCCTTAATGGAGCGGAGGGGCTTACTGGCTGTGGCTTGGTCACCCACGGCGAAGCTAAGAGGAACTTACAATGGGCCGGCCTGTGGCGTAAGGCCGGCCCGAGAGGGCGGCTCTGAGTGGGCTCATTAAGCTCACTCGGAGCGGCTAACTTGAGGGTGGTTGAGGAGGAGCCATTCTCCCTATCTTCTGTTACCGAAGAGGGGTCGCAGGGGAAGAGGAGTGTCGTCATGGTGTGTGGCCGCTCTCCCTATTCTCCGCGACTCGGCCGGGCTACACCGCTGATGCAGTGGTGATGGGGCCGCAGGGGGAGTGAAGTGTCGGTATTGCAATACGCCATTCTGACTTCTATCACCACGTCCTAGAGGCGACAGGCTGTCGAGTGGCAGAGTTAAATTATGTATCGCATGGGTTAATGTATCGCCCGGATCGTTTAGTACATTTACAAGCCGGTGTAATCTCGGACACAGAGTTCGAAGGAACTGATTTGATCCGTTGGTCGCTCTAGGCATAAGAAAGATTGCCGTCGTTATGTACACACGTACATTCTATTAAATATAGGTTGATGCGCGAGACATTGACATTGACATACAAATATGGATCTCGTATATAAAGTTCCGTATTTTTTAAACAACAAATGTACACAACACTTTTTTTTTATTTCATAACGTCATTTTAGTTTATCAATGTCACGCGTATCATCATATTATATTTAATAAACTGTAAAAAGTTATACTTCTTTAACGTAGTAAAAAAAAAATTTATCGCCAGTGCGATATTGCTCATGCCAGTATTCTTGTTTGTGAAAAAGACACTAAATGCGAGATTTGGTTGACGGTTTAATTAAATACCTTGGAATTTTAAGTACCGTAAATGTCAAAAGGTTATTATTGGTTACCATGGTAATACCGTGAAGGTGGTTCTTCAACCTGTTCTTACCAATTTCTTCATGTCGTCGGCATTGGTGTGCGCGCACGTCGTAATGTTTTTTTCCCAAATTCAAAAACCCCACTAATTTGCAGCCTAATAATAGACCTAAATATTTTTGCCCTAGGCCCAGGTTTACCAAAGCCACCCCTGCTGAAATGAGAGCTTTAATAACAAACTTGAATGGATATTAATTATATGAGACAGAGGTGCTATTTTTAGGTCACATTGGAATTTAGCATTCCGAATATGCTGAGAAGCCGATCGGGTAATTTAGAATTTGGTTATGAATAACTTAAGTGGTTTCAACTAATGAACATTATGAACTTCATCTTATTGGCTACAGTGCGTATGTGCTGCTTGTATGCGAGTTTTTATCTAGCGTCACACTTTGATATTTAGCCGTGCTTTCCCACAGAATCAACATCACCACATCCATTTTCTCATCTTATTACAAGTTACGCGTCGAACAAATGATCTATTCTGCTTAACTGAAAATCAAAAATAATCTTATAATTTTTCCAAGGCTCGCGATTCAAACTGATAAAGGATTAAAATTATTTTTCCTACGAGTTTAGAGAAATTGTGTTCAATTAAAAATTTTATATGTCAACTCTACTTTAACCTTCAATGTCTTTCAATTTCAGTGGTAAAAAATATATCGTATCGACTTTTAAAAAATAGTATCGTTAATGATCGATAGAAAAATATCGATATATGCTCATTTTTAACATGACTATTTATACATATTTTGAGACATTCATTTATAAAATGGAATAGAAATAAAAAAATTGTTAAAAAGAGTTTTTAAGGTTAACGATGCGCGAGGAGCATGCAAAAAGTATCTATCATTAAAGACGAAACCAGTGTTGACACGAATTTGATAGCCTAAAATAAATATCGATATATCGTGATAAAAAATATCGATATTTTTTGCCCATGCCTATTTTCGGCAAATAGTAATTGGCACTTTGATTGATAAAGTTCGGCATTGCAAAAGGTTGAAAGATTATCTTAGATATTAATATAATAATTCTGTTATGGTATTTTTTTAGAAAATATATATCCGAAATTATCTTATGTACCAAATAACAATTAAGTCAACGTAAAATATGTTCCATTACTTTATCTCAGAAGTAAGATCTGCTCAAACATCTGTTTACTTTTAAAGGTATTATTATTTTTTGTTTATGTTCACAATCCACATTAATTATATTGTGCAATAAATAATCCAACTTACTATTTTAAGCTGCGGCATCGTTGTAATAAACTACTATTACAAATATACAATAATTTCATATGTTGTGAAATTAGCAAGTCTTCCGAAAATACCTTTATACTACAGAACTTATTACCGATGTTTGTGGCTTATCAAATTAAATTTAATATAATAGTCTTAGTCTGCCTATATTTTTATTTTCAGACGGTTGAGACAAACATTATGCTGTTCTAAAAAGTATTTTGTAGCTCCTTTTGGAGCTACAATAGAGCTTAGCTCTGCTGTGGCTTTAAGTAATTAATTTCTGAACAGTACAATTTTATCGATATCCTTGTACCTGTCAAATAAAAAGTAATAATACATAAATATTACTTTCTCGATCTAAGTCGATTGATGGACCAAATATTTTATGAACTGTATAAAAAATTTGAATTACAAATTACATTAACAATATGAGTAAAATAAATACTGATGTAGATTGCACTAGAAGGTGCAGGTCTAAGAGCCATGGGCAAGCTCTTACTAGTGCCATTACTAAAAGATCTGTCAATGATGTGTCCTTGGCAAGCTTTATAAAAGCAACTTGTGCTAATTTTCCTAAAGCTTTTGATTTTGAGGTAAGCCACTTTAACCATTGATATATTGCTTATAATGTATCACAAAATTTTAATCAACATTCAAATCTCTCAAAATAATTTGTTACTGTTTACACTAATTTTTCAGGGACGTACAGCACTACATATGACAGCTTCAAGGGGTAGAATTAACTTGATGGAATGGTTGGTGCGGCATTCTATAGAAGCCTTTATCAATGCTCGCGATCGTGAATCTGGATACACACCTTTACATAGGTGCATTTTCTACGGTCAAATACATTCTGCAGTAGCTCTGATGAAACTAGGTAAGGAGTAGAGATTAATAAATCACTAGATTAATAATTTTAATGGGGATTTGTAAGGTAAAAGTAATTAGAATATGTGATCACATTTCATTACTGATTGAATGTGATCATGTTTCAACTTTATGTTATGATAATATAATAAAACATAAAGTAATGTTTAAAAAAGGAAAAATGAAAGGGTCTTAAAAATAATAGTTAAAATAGAGAAAAAAAATTCTAATCGGTCTTGATGCATTTATTTCAAATCTGATTAGATATATTCTAATTAGTGTTATTTTAAAATAGTATTACAAAAATGTGTTGGTTTGTTACTTGCAAGCAAGAAAAGATTTTATTATTCCAATAGTAGTCCATTTTGATATTAGAAATACTGGCTCTCAGCCAATTTGCCATTGTTGGCATTATGCCACAGCTGGAATCTGATATGTATTCTATAGAAATAGCAAAAAGAAGCTATTTAATTCTTTTCTAAATTAAAAAGTAAAGTGACTGTACATATATATAAATATTTAATTTCATCATTTTCTTCACCATCCTTCAACAGTCCACTGTTGAGACAAAGACCTAGATCCTAGACCTAGATCTCCTAATGCAATTCATTTAGCCTTATAATCTTTGCTTATGCATTTCCCATTGCTGCCTTGTGATACTGATTCACTCCTTATAGCCAGAGAGCATCATTTACTTAATTTATCTGTTGTGAGTTATTTTAATTACATAAATTATAAAGTAATTAAGAATGTGATGAAAATATTTCATATGTTGTGAAATCTCATGCAGATTTTCGTGCTGTCTATAGTTTATAACTACTAATTTGAATATATACCATCAAAAAACGTAACTTGTTTCATATATTAATCATTGGGTTAATGCTTTCTCTGGAAAAGTAATTTTAAAGACATAAGTTTTAAAAATTCATTATTATTCAATGTAAATTGCTAATTCAATAATTATATAACTGACCATGAGAAAATACTTTTTTGTTCCTTGTAAGAAAAACTGTAATTAGGAATTTTGAAGAATAAAATACAGAAATTTGCAATTTATCATATTTTCACCACTCATCTGGCTCCTTATTTTCTCTATTTATTTGTCAGTTGACTGGCAGAGAACACCTAATTGTGATATGTCAGCTATTGTGCAAAAGTTTATAACCTTCTAATTGTGCAAATTCCAGGTGTTAATACCGATATTGTGGATAAGGATGATTATAAAGCCTTGGAACATGCTATGCTAGACCGCCACTACATGTACAAGCACATTGGTGACCAGCCCAGCGATGTGTATGTGTGGGGAACAAACTCTAACTACACTCTAGGCACTGGCACACAGCAACAACGTAACTCACCTGAACTATTGACCTGTTTCAGTCGCACTAATAACTCTGTCAAACAGGTGAATTTCAGAGATAATTCTGTCATAATTATAAATTAATGTTGTAAGCTTCACAACCACTGACTGTTTCCTTAATTTTTTATACTGTTCCAGAAATTTATTGTGTGATTTTGCTTACATACAAGATTATTTCAGATATATTCATGTAATGTGTTTGACTTCTTGGTTTTCTTAAGTAATAAGAGCACTGATTCTAGTTAAAAAAAAACTATTTAATTAATATCTATATCTAAGGGAGAAATATTTTTTGTATTTTTACAGTACAAATTGAATTTATGCAAGTGAAAGAATATAATAGAGAATAGTTCATTTTAGCATCACTATTAAAATATAATAAGAAGATACAGTATCAATAGACAATGTTTTTCTGGCTACATAATAAATTTTACATTCGAAATACTAATATAAGAAGAATTGACTAAATTTTTAACAAAACTTATATAGGTTAAGTAAAATACACTTACAAATGAAGTGGTAAAATTTGTTTACTTCATGAGTAGGGAAATATAATTTTACTGATGAAACACTATGTTATTACTGACTAGCACAGGCTCTTTTTAATGCAATTAAAGGTTACTTATAAGAAAAGCTGGAAGAGCTGCTAGTTTTTGGCAGCTCTTCCACTCTCTACTTACTTAGCATATAATTAGCTGGCACTAATTAATTGATAGCTAATTACCACTATAACTGTATGTTACATATTTAATATTTATTTTTCAAGATTATAGTGATACAGATTCAACGTAACTTTCGCCTATCAGTGCGAAGACGAGCAATTATTAGCATTAACACGAGACAGTAACGGAATCATTATCGCAGTTACTTTCCGCGAAACCGTAACGAGTAAGAGTTTTTTTTTTTACGCTCCTAAACCTAAATCTGGCCGTTTTGACAGAAGCGATGACAGATTAAAAATCAATCGCGTCGCATCGCACGCGTCAAGGGATGTCAGTCGAACAGTCACGTGATTTTTGTACGCTATATATTGTACCGCGAGTTCGATACGGCTCGCGATGCACACGACGAGCCTGCCGCGCACGTGCCTCAGCTTCACGAACATACTGTTCTTCTGCGTCGCGTTCGTTTGCTGCCTGGCGGGCGTATGGTGCGTGCTCAACGCGGACATGTTCCGCGAGGTCAACTACGGGCTGACCAAGAGCCGGTACGTTCCGGCGCTGACGAGCCTAGCCGGTCTCCGGCTGTGGTCGGCGCCGCTGACGTCGGTCGTGATAGCGGTCGCGGCGCTGACCATGTTCACGTCCTGCTGCGGCGTCATCGGCGCCGGCTGCAAGGTGAAGTGCGCGGTGCGGACGTACGTGTTCCTCGTGACGGTCGCCTCGGCGGCCGCCTTCTGGCTGTTCTTCGTCACCGGCGTCTACGGCGTGTACTCCGGCGACCCGCACACCCGGGCGTACTTGGGCTCGACGATACGCACCCACTACGGCGACGGCGGCGACCTCCTCTCGGTCCTGTGGGACCACCTGATGCTGCGCTACGAGTGCTGCGGCGCCAGCGGCCACGCGGATTTTGCACAGTCCAAGTGGCGGGAGACGCATCCCGACGAGCTGTTCCCCGTGCAGTGCTGCACGCTGGTGAACAAGACCACCCTGACGCCGTTAGACCCGGACTGCACGAAGAACGCCGTCGAAGGCGCCGGCAATCACATCAGCCGCGGCTGCTACGACGCGTTGAGGGCGGAGATCCGAAGCAACCGGGGCAGCTTTATCCTGTACGCGTCGCTTGCGTCCGTTTCGTACTTCCTGCTGGTCTCGTTCTCGTTCTGCCTAATCAGGGGCGAGCCGCTGTTAGATTCAAGCAACTGGGTGCCGGTAAAGCCCCAGCCGAACCAACCCCAACCGCCGCCGGCTAAAGCGCTGAGGGAGATCAAGGTGACGGTGCCCAGGAGGCCGGTCGCTGACGGTGCGTTCTTCGAGGATGAGCCTCCCATGAAGATCGTCCGCGTCGTCTCTGCGATCAACCCGGGTCTGAGTTACAAGCTTGAGCCCAGTGTGTACAGGGGCAACGAGACGTGGCCGTATAACGTGAAAGCCCAAATAAAGTGATGATTTCTGAAGTTTGCGTTTGCTTTTTTAGTTTTCCCCGTCTTACTCCATACATTTTTGTTTACACGACTTAGACAATCATGTTGAAAATTTGTTGAAGCTTCTCAAGTATGTGTCAATTTCATGACGACACACGTGATATTTTATTATCATGATTTTTTTCTCGAATTTGCGAAACTCCAATTTAATATTCAACTCCACTTGCTAAAGAAACGATATTAAGTGTAGTTTAAAGTTAAAGAAAGACTATTTAGTGCAGTCTCAGAATATAAATTCGATTATCATGTCACTATGACCAGGGCAAATTATTCTCACAACTAACTAGACCGTACTAGCAAAAGTTTTGTTTCGAAGTGTTCTTTTCTTCCATCGCGTGTACGTGTACATGAAATGTTTGCAGGTGTGCCTGGGAAAGTTCCACAGCATATGGGTGTGCGAGGCTGGCGGGGGCGAGGTGTGGTGCGGGGGGCAGACCGCCAGGGCGGGCGGCCCGAACTGCACGGCGCTTCGCCCCGCACCGCTACGTTTGCCGGAGCCCTGCATTTCTGCAGCCATTACTCTCACTTCCACCATCTTTCTTCTGCAGAATGGCGCGGTTAGTGTGACACTTGCTAGTTTTCTTACGGGCGTTACTTAACCCGTTATACAGCGTGTAGTTACCATCGCGACAATAAATGAACACACGTCTAACGCTACTTGCCAATAATCATAAAAAAATATTAACGTTAAACAAAATCCATAATGAAAAAAAAATATTTTTCAAACAAACTAATTAAGTAAAAAAGAAACAAAATTTGTAACATCCTCTACAACTCGCACCACAACGTCGCATTACAAGCCTCTCCTTCTAACAGTAGGTTTTGTCTCTTTTAAATTCATTCAACTCATTCATATGCTTTGTGACCTTTACAAATGAACTTTACGTTACGCTTTTATAGGTAAGGGTGTTCTTAAATTCTTTGTTTTGGAAAATTTAATAACTCTGTAAATATTGATGTTTAAAGAATGTAAATTTTTGAAACAATTTTAAAAAGTTATCCCCTATATGTGTGTTCATTTATTGTCGCGATGGTAACGACACGCTGTATATTACTTGCTGGTCGCTTTTATGCTATCTTTGGGGTTATACTTTTTGCGCGTTTGGGAAAAATGATTAGAGTGAATCATTACGATGTGCGACACCTAAAACTGAAACCGTTATCAATTGCATTCAATGTCTTTTTTCGCACACAAACAGCACTGGCACACGGGATAAAATTTTTGGTTATTTTTCTCTTTTTACGCTAAATAAATTTCACACGCACTCACGTTATTTTTTTAAGTCTTTCATTTGTGACAGACTCTTTGCCGCTACCGCTAAAGTCGCATTTGACACTTCAGGTGCTCCAGTACGGCCTCAACATCGCCGACAACGTCAGCTCGTCGAACGCGAAGACGCCCTCCGTGATAAAGCTGGCGGCGGTGAAGCCGGCGCTGAAGGTGGCCGATCCGCTGGGGGTGTGCGCGGGGCGGGCTCACGCCGTCGCGTGGAACCCGCGCGCCCTCTACACATGGGGGACTAATATGGGCCAGCTCGGGCACCCGCAAGAGGACCGGCTGGTGGCGACACCGAAGCGCGTGAGTTTTCCACGGGGGAAAGCCCGGGATTTTTTTTTTAAATCTATAATCTATAAAATGCTCGTGTCACGGTGTTCGTAATTGAACTCTTCCGAAACGGCTCGACCGATTTTCGTGAAATTTTGTATGCATATCGGCCAGGGTGGAGAATCGGACAACATCTATTTTTCATCCGCCTAAACGTTAAGCGTGGTACACCCTAAACCGTTTTTTCTACCCTAAAAATTCCCTAGAAATAATTTATATAGGCATAACAACGTTTGCCGGGACAGCTAGTAATAAATAAATAAATAAATATTTTAGGACACATTTTTTACACAACGTTCTCTACTCCCAAATTGAGCAATGCTTGTACTATCATCATCATCATCATCATATCAGCCGTAGGACGTCCACTGCTGAACATAGGCCTCCCCCATTGACTTCCACTTCGACCGGTCGTTATCTATCATAGCTTCATCCAACGCGTCCCTGCGATCTTGGCTAGGTCGTCCGTCCACCTTGTGGGAGGCCTTCCTACGCTGCGTTTGCCGTCACGTGGTCTCCACTCGAGAACCTTTTTGCCCCAACGGTTTGCTTGTACTATGGGTACTAGAAAACTGATAGATATACTTAAACATACTTTTGTTTTGTAAATAAATACATATTAGACATATATAAACACCCAGACACTAGAAAAAAACTATGCTCATCACACAATATCGGGGATCGAACCCACACCCTCTGGCGCGGAAGGCAGGTAGTGGGTAGTGTACCCACTACGACATTCGGGTCGTCAAAGCCATATGAGAAAGTGGCAAACGAGCTGGCGGCTCATCTAATGTTAAGTGATACATTTGCATCACCCATAGGGTTGCTGATGCGATGCCACTATTTAATAAAGTGGGCCCCAGCTTGGACTCATCGGACGAATCGCAGAAGTATAACACTTCCACTTCACGCCGGTCTTTTGTGAGGTCGTGGTATTTCCCCGGATGGGCCTGCACATACCGTGCATTGTTGCGTGGCCCTACAACAGTAGAATAGATAGCAAGGCACGCTGAATGTTCCAGCGTGCAGCGAACGTGGATAGATGTCATGATATTTGCCGGAGGTCGTCGGCTGCTTAGCTTAGTTGGTAAAGCGTCTGGCTGCAAAACCAGAAGACGCAGGTTCTAATTCCACGGCCTAGAAAGTTTTTATTGAAATTACAATTTAAAATATATGTCAATGCTTCAACTAGACGCAAAATTATTGTAATCGTACTTAGTGATATGAAGAAACTTCTTTCTTCAGGTAGCCGTATCTATAAACACTAAAGATCAGGCGGAAATCCAACTGGTGGCTACGTCGGACGCCGCTACGATTTTTACAACAAGCCGCGGGGACGTTTACTTACTTCATAAGTACATATGCAAGAAAATCGCGATCAAGTGAGTAAAATATTTTTTCTACTTGATTATATTTTATTATTATTAGAATTATTAATTAAAATTGTATTGTATTGCATCTTTTGCTGCACCTGCCATAAACTCTCACCACATCCTGGGTTGACTGGTAGAGAATGCCTTTGGGCATTAAGTCCGCCCTTTGTTACCTTGTTTTACTGAAGGTTGGCAATAAAGATTAAATAAAAAAAAAAATTTATAACTTAGTAATAAATATATACCTACCGAGACTACGACATTACAAATAAACATGTCACCCAAGGAAATTATATAATATAAATTCTATAAATATGTGCCTCAAAAATAAAGATGTTTTATTATTATTTTATGAATGAAAAAGACAGTACTAAGAGTATTCCATAATATGGCCTCGGTTCAAATAATAACAATCCTAAATCATAGTCAAAAACTATTCACTGCAAATCTAAAAACTTTTTTATTATTATTTTAATGTACATATTATGTTTTCTTTAGGCAAATCAACTTGCGTCAAGTGTGCGTTGAAAGCAAAGTGAACGATCAAGGTGTGTATTCGCGAGTCACCGCCTTGTTGCTCACCAAAGTTGGGCAATTGCACATTTGGCAGGATACTAGCAACAGGATCACCAGGTATACAATTTTACTTGATACTTATGTATCTCATTATGGCAGTTAAGAATTGATTCATTCATTAAAATCATTTATAAAAATATTTGGATATTGTAATGTGTATATCTAATGACAATTTTTGTTCATTTTCAAAACTAGTTGACTAATAAAAACTTTGTATATGTTGCATGAATTTTGTAGTGGAAATTATAATAAAGTGGGCAATAAAAAAACATCCACTCAAAAATCGTAACATCACGATAAATTTATATAAGGATTATGCTTATATTTTTATGTTTTAAAATCATTTACTCCCAATATTGTCCCTATCCAAAATTATTTAATAAAACAATAGTATATTGTTATCACAGTTTTAATTTTAAATTTTATTTAGATACCAACTTAAATTATAAATAAAATATGAACAATAATGAAAGCTTCAGCTCAAACTAACATTCTTTATTTATTGATACATAATGATTATCAACTGACACTTAAACAATACTCCTAGCATTATACAAATTCATTATATTTTCAGATGCGTATTCGGTCTCAACCACCAAACGCTCATACGTCACGTCGCTTTAACGCACGACGCTATGTACTTCGTGACCAACTACGGCGAGGCGTACGTCGGCACCATTTCGCGCAAAACGACGCCCGCCCCCCAACAGCAGCCCGCTAGGAGGGAGAAGGATAGCGACCCCGACAAATCTGCGCTTGTCAAGTTCTTGGAGAAGGACGACTGCACCCCAGTTAGGATTGTCAAGATACCGAACATTCATCGGGCCGTGTCTATCTCCGTTGACAACGAAGGGCTGAACTTTGCCTGTTTGCAAGTGAGTTGTTATACCGGTGGCCACACTAGAGATCACTGTTAGTTCTTGTCCGTCAAATAGAGACTCGTTAATTGATCTTTTAGACGGGATTTTGATAACAATCGAATTAAATTCTACTACTATGATTACAATAATCGTGTTATGTACTTAACTTTAAAGTGACAATAAATCTATAATGAGCGGAAGCAATTTAGTTTTTGTCATTGTGTTGGAAGCATATCATCACCATAAAAACAATTTGCTAGTCATGTTCATACGGATAGTTACACTTAATAAAGCCATTAAATAATAGAATTTAATAGAACAGTGCTTTATTAAAAATGTGTATAGCTATGAATGACAAAACAACAACTTAATACTATAATTTTCAATAAATATAAAATGTATATCACACCAAAGAAAATTATTTTTTATATGAGGATATTCTGTTAATAACTCGTTTGACATTTTATTGATGTACATTATAATGCTTAGTTACTTTTTACAGATTAAACCTACCTGTGGTTTAACTTCCTTTCCCGAGCTTTCACCATCAAGCCTTTTAAAACATATGGAGTCACTTTTGGAAACTGCTTCTGATGATGATTTATTACATGATGTTATATTTAAGGTAATGTATGAATAAAATTAATGATATTCCTGTATTAATGATATCCTTTTTCATACACTTTTATTAACATTACCTGTATGTAACTATATAGGTATGGTTGAAATTCAATGACTTTTTTTTGCACAACACTTATTCACATCACCTGTATGTAACTACATAGATATGGTTGTATTCATAGTGTTACAATTGAATTGTCATGTGTGGAAAATGCAAGTAAAGTTTAAATTTCTTCGTATATTTTGTACTAACGAACGTCAATCTAGCTGCCACAGTTGCTAAGCTATCGGCCTCGGCGTCAGAAGTCGTGTATTTTATTCTCACACAGGACAAGTATTTGTATGGCCCAAAGATAAAGGTTCCGGATCTGGGTGTTTGTTCCCAAGGAGGCTGGATAAAGGGGGTTGGGTCGGTGAGTCAGGAGGCCGGCCAAAAAAAACTTAGCCAGTAAATACCATTAGCAACATGATTCGCGTGTTGTGCCGAACACACATAGGATAAGTGCAGAAGTAAGAAATATGACCAATAAATATCTAACTTTACAGGTCACTGTGATACTATTTATTCTAATAGCGCTTAAATTAATTAATTGTTATGTTTTTGGATATTTTGTTTCACCTTCTAGGTTGGGACAAAATTATATCCAGCTCACATATTCATAGTAGCTTCAAGCAGTGAGCATCTATACAAATTGTACGAAGAATCACGCACAAACGACAACGAAAAACCTATAGTCACATTAGATAATGTTCATCCTGAAGTGTTTGAAAGAATTTTGAGATACATGTATATTGGTACCTGCGACGTTGCCGAACTAGGGCCATGCGGTCTAAAGATAAGGAGAGAAGATCTACCATCAGTAGTGAAGAAAGAAAAGGAAAATGTTGATATCGAAATTGATGCTATTGGTATGTATACTTGTGATTTGTATATATTTTTTTTAATTTTAGACTTTAAACATCTCTTGTAGTTATTCTTATCTTCAACAAGTATTTCATAATATGCAGAAAGGATCAAATTTTGATACATTTTAAGAAATCCTGTTATATCACTAAGAAATGTCTCTTCTTTTATTTCTGTTTTATTTGTCTAATGGCCTTTGTAGGCGCTATGCGTTAAATTTTTTTTCATATGTGGAAAAGTGGCAAATGAGCTGACGGTTCACATGATCTTAAGTGATGACCGCCGCCCATTGACATTTGCTTCACCCGTAGTGTTGCAAATGCGTTGCCATCTTTAAATAAAGTGGGCACCGGCTCCCTCACTCACCACGGATCTGCCCATTTGTGCAACAGTGAATACTGTTGCATGGTCCTACCACAGTACGCGAGTAAATTAAATTTTTACAGAAAACCCCATGGAAGTAACGGCATTCGAAGTATATAAGCAGCAGAATGAAAAGAGCAAGCGTTCAGGACGAAACCGACGCAGTACCGAGACGCCATCACGTACGCATTTGTACTGCGACCCCGTCAAATTGGTACAGGCAACTGCTAAAAGACTTCAAGTAATGAATCTACATAAACTGCTTGACAAATACTAGTAGGTATTTACTGTTACACATAAAAGTTACTGTTTTATTTCATTACGGTTTAACTTTTAGTTTATTCCATAAGGCCATTTTTCAATTATAAGCTGCAATTTCTCTATTTTCTTAAGTTCTTATTTTAATCTTTATTAGAATCTTAGTCTTTGTGGTGCAAACATTTTCATTGTTCTTCAAAAAGGCAACCAAAAAAGTAGATTATTATATACTGGGGATATTTATTTGTTTTCTTGTCTGGTTGGACTTATAAATAAAAATATTATTATATAAGTAGGCTTTTCTAAGTGTATCCATTTTTTTTTATTAAATTCTAGACATAAATAATGTTATATAAAAAATGATAAATATTTAAAATCACTCGTAACTAATTAAATACATTCATTTGAACTTATCTCAAAAGTGCGTGATTTATGGGTAACTCATTTATTTTACGCGCAATCATTCATAACTAACACACACAAGTTCGTTTCAAAAGTATACGACGCATTTATGTATGACTACCGCATTCTCAACAAGTTCTCTTTTCTAAGGAATGGAATGGCAATGTTTTTGAAAAAAAAAAAGTTTATTTTTATTTCAATAAACGATTAAACTACCGAGTCTGAACCTCTTGTGTGAATTTGGTCACCTTTAAGCCACCTAAAAGCCACTCTGTATATATTATTGTTTATATTAAACATTTAGGATTAACATATATGTATATTGTAAGTAGTAAAAACTGCTTTAGTTGAAATTTGAACCATTAGTTACAGGGATGGCACCATTTACTTGAAAGAAAGTGCAACTTACACTAAAAATACACCGCAAAGCTGGATATGTGACTCTTTTCCAGAGCTAGTTGATACCAATGTGTGTTCAAAGGATGGTACATTGATACCAGCACATAAGTGCATACTGGCAGCTAGGCTAGAATATTTCCAGGGAATGTTCATGCATTCTTGGTCTGAGGTAAGATTAACAGTTTATAATGCAAACATGATCAGATAAATTATATCCAAGACATGTTCACCATTACCATATGTATGGGTTTGTTTCATTCAATTAATAAGTGGATAAAATGAATAGTTTCTATACTACTGAGTAATAATTTATAAAAAATGTATGAGATGCTATTTTTGCCTTGCAGAGTAAATCAATGTCAACTGTGACACTACCAATTAACTATGGGATACTATTGCCCGTTGTCAATTTCCTTTACACAGACACGTGTCCGGAAATTGAGAACTCGGACAGCATAGATTTCATTTGCAGCATGCTTATTGTTGCCGACCAACTGTTTATAAGTCGCCTTCGAGAGATGTGCGAAATGACGCTTGCGGGCTTAATAACACTAAAAAACTGCTCGGAACTTTGCCAGTTTGCTCATACATACAATGCGTCGCAGCTCAAGCAGTGCTGTATGGAATACATTTCGCTCAACATTGCCAACATACTTGAGAACCGATCCCTTGACTTGTTGGAGGAAACTCTCCTGGAAGATATTTCAAAATACTACTGCAAATTCAATCCAATCATGTCGTCTAGAGTCATCACACCTTTCTTCAACTCTCCTAGTGATGAAGTTATTGATGAATGTGCAAAAAATTACCCGGTCGATCTGAACTTTATCGATGATGATTTGAAAAAAGATGATAGCTTAATAGACACTAAGAAAAAAAATAGACCGTCAAAAAAAATTGACTACACAGAGAGTGAAAAGGCCAGAATGAGATATGAATCCGTAAGCTCGGTCACGTCATTGGACTTATCTAATGAAAACTCCGGAGACGTAACATTGTCTTTGAGTTCGATAGGAAAAGGCGATGAGAAAAATGAGAAAATGAAAGATAAGTGGATAGAGGTGCCTTCGGCTCAGCAAAAGCAACAAAAAGTTATACAAGCAAGAATAAAAGCAATTTCAACAGCTAAAGATATTCTTAATGAAAAACCCACTGAAACCTTTATTAAATTAACTAAGAACAATTCATTTAGTGCCTTGAATAGTCCTACCAAACAGTCACCAAGCACATCCCGTATGTCAGAGTCTCCTAAGGAAATACCAATTTCTGAATTTAGTTGGAGTTCAAACAACAACTTAATCGTAAATCACATTGGTCCTAAACTTTCCCAAAAGCAGCGAAAGAAGTTGGCCATGCAAGGAAATGAATTGCCCAGTCAGCAAAATCTAGATGTGTACTTAACAAGCAAACTAAATTTGGCTAGTCCAGATAAACCCAAGAATCCTTGGAAAATTTGTGAAGCGCCTGCTGCAAATAGTAGCCCTAAGGCCAAACCTGTTGAATTCAACCAAATTTTAGCTGATCAAAGAAAGCAAAAAGATGATTTTTCTAGGATCATGACAAAACCCCTTGCGCTGACACAGGTAATTAACAATTTTTTTAATTGATGAAAATGCGTCAAAAGCCGAATTTATATAATTCTTTTTGCCGTAAATCAAAGTCGTAAATCAAAGAGTTAACACATTTTGTTAACTTTTTGATTTACAACTGTTAAACTTCAACATATTGGGCAGGTGGCATATACCCAATCTAAAATCTGTTAATTTATTAGTGAGAAATGACATTGAACTAATTAAAACATAATTACATCTGTTTTGTTAATTCACAAATTAGCAACTTATTCTAGTGGTCATAAGCATGTTGAGACAAGACACAAGAAAGCTCTTGTGTCTTATCACAGGATAAACAGAGATACCTCATTAATGTACATTTTACTAAACCTTAAATTTATTTAACGGCGAATATTGTTAAATCTTTGAAAGTGAACAGACTGTTGCAAATGTGAAATTTGAATTACTCCAACTCATTGTACACAGTACTGGTACAGTACTGGATTTGACCCTAAAACCTCACATCTTTTGCTTAACACCTTTTATTTTATACTTCCTTTTAATAAATAACATGGTATGTTTAACTATTTTTGTATTTCTTAGCTTGAAGATAAGGCAATTGAAGAATTGGAGAAATTTTATAATGTGCATGAGATTGATGATGAATTGATAACTGTGAGACGAATCGAGCTTCAAGTTTCTTCGCCACAATGGATTCACACTGCCCCTAAGTGATAATTGCATATTTTATATTTTTACTACCAATTTTAAGTATTGACAACTAATAATATATTGAAATTAAATATATCAATGACATAAAAGGCAAAATCTCTTTTTATTTAATTACTTCATCATCAGTAACCAGATAAACAAATACATTTTTGATTGATTGATCGAATATTCTTTATTTGCACACACCATGTGTTCTTTGTTGCACACACACAAAAAAAATAAATTAAAAATAACAATTACATAAGGGTTGGTGTGTGTTATGTGGCAAATGAGCAGGTGCTTCACCTGTTTATCTTCACTTTGGTCATTTTGGCCAAGTCTAACAGATAAAACAACAAAAAAAATAGAATCAACTAAGCCTAAATATGTGATATTGCCCAACTACCTCTGGCTCCTTGATGTATGCTGTAAAATATTTCCAAATCCTCTCGCATCACTACTACATATTAATTAATACTTATATTATAACATATAAGTATTAAACCCTAAGGAGTATTAGGTTTTTTCATCTTCAATATATATTTATTACCGATAAACGAAATAAACTTGATTAACATGTAAACAAAAGTAAAGTATCATGTCCCACAGCTGGACAAAGGCCTCTTTTATACATAGGGTATATGGGCATAGATCACCACATGGCCCCATTGCGGATTGGCACACTTCACATATCATTGAAATATTTTTTTATTATTTCGAAAATATGCAGGTTTCCTCACGATGTTTTCCTTCACTGCTATAATATAAAAATATTTATCCTTAAATAAATTAATTATAACACTATAAAAATATGTGTATATTTTTATTTGGGAATGTTATTATTTCAGTTTAAAGCAGATTGTTTTTAGATGTAAAGTTTTTATATACTCCAATAAGATTTTTAATGATGTCACGGTTTACATTGGCAGTATACAGCGTGTCGTTACCATCGCGACAATAAATGAACACACGTCTAACGCTACTTGCCAATAATCATAAAAAAATATTAACGTAAAACAAAATCCATAATTAAAAAAAGATATATTTTTCAAACAAACTAATTAAGTAAAAAAGAAACAAAATTTGTAACATCCTATACAACTCGCGCCACAGCGTCGCATTACAAGCCTCTCCTTCTAACAGTATGTTTTGTCTCTTTTAAATTCATTCAACCCATTCATATGCTTTGTGACCTTTACAAATGAACTTTACGTTACACTTTTATACGTAAGGGTGTTCTAAAATTGTTTGTTTTGGAAAATTGTCGCGATGGTAACGACACGCTGTATAAAAAGAATATACAAATTACTCATCTCCAGACCATTAAAAATGTGGTTACAACCAAATCTATTTGCGAGCAATATGAGAATATTATTACATTGTGGCTGGCTTGCATGTATACTCAAAGTAGTAAAAAATTTGCAGGTTTCAGTTTTGACCCTGCACTTCTATCTTGACTGGTTAACATAGATATGACCTAAATACAAGTATTTAAAATACAGATCGAGATATGAAATAAATGTTTTTCTCATGTATCAGAAATACTATTTAAATTAAATTATGTATTTTGGATTTTTTGGTTTTATTCACAAAAAATAGGTCAATAACTCACAAGAACAGGTGTAAAATATAAGCATTCATATTAATAACAATAAATGTTTTATTCAAACTAAATTAATTACATAACATACCATCTAATTATTTATTGATATTGTTCAACTTTTTGGAGGAAAAGCTTTTAACAACTGATTTAGTTGTCTATGTGTCAGTTTCTTCTCTCCAGGTACTAAAATGCCTTTTTTACCGTGTTCTCTTTGCAATGCAGTTCTTTCACTGTATTCTCGGTAACAACTTTGGAAGGTCGTCACTTCCTTCATACATTCTTGTTGATCAAAGTCATGCTTCTTGAAACAAGCAAACATTATAGCCATTTCTTGCATGCAAGCGGCTTCTCTAAGCCTGTCTCCTTTACCCGACACTGTCTTCTTTAATTTCAGAGGTAATAACATTTGAAAAGGAACAGGCTCCTTTTGCGGAGCTCTTGCCCAATTATTATAAGGCGCCGAAAATAAAATATTATTTAATCTCATTTTTTATAACTAGTTATATCAGCAATACGAAAACAATACCAAAAGTTACTCAGAAATTAGAAACTAAACTACTACAAACTAGAAAGGTTATATTTAAGTTTAGCTTTATAAGATGACAGCTATCAAGTGTCTTTTTTTTTTTTATTAAAGATTTTATGGCCTGGTAACAAGACCTTTAAGCCAAGTCTTATTTTCGAACACTAATTTTCTCATTTTTGTATTATTTTGTATATTTTTACCTGTTCATTGATTTTATTTAGTTATTTAAATTGTCCCCACAGTATTTTTAACGTATTTATATAATGCATTATGACACTTTTTGTTTTTGAGCAAATCACACAAGTGGCGGCGGGAGGTATCATTAACTTCTATTATTTCACTTGCCAATATTATGGCAAGTGAAATAATAGAAGTTAATAACTATTTCATAGTCTATGAAAAACGAACGTTTTGTTTGGACATTTGAAGAAAATATGATTCATGTCAGCTATCCCATCATTACAGAAAATGCAAATATTGCAATGCAATTTATTATATTGAGTCTTGCGAGGTGTGCAGGTGCAGTGTTATGGCCAAATCGTAATCTGTTGATTGTGGTGACGAATTCACTGCTAGCTATATCCAGCTCATCATACCAGGGTCTTCTCGGTAAATTCTCTTGGATACTTCCATCCCATTTTCCTTTAAATTTTTGATCCTCCTTCCAGAAGTTTAGCCAAATATTTTTGAATGAAATATTTACATCGGAATAATAATCGGTCATAGGAACATGCACCACATTTCTAACGTCAATAGCATTGAAATACCTTTGTGTGCGGGAACCCACATAAAGGCAATCGTTATCCCATTTTTATGTAATCGAAATACAATATCTTTAATGAAATAAATTATGAAATTAGTTTTAATATTAAGACTTACATGTCTTAGACTGTTTATAAGACTCAAAGAGTCTGTTAAAATTAGAAAATATTTACAATTAATTACACAACTAATTGATTTTAAAGCTTCAAAAACTGCATATGCCTCTGCTGTAAAAGTGAAGCTATCAAGTGTCATTTCAATATCGATATTGAACTTTGTATTGAACGTAGATTACGTAAATTATAATTAAGTTGATGTTTTACCATGGATATTAAAATATTTTGTTGCACAGTTTGCTGCTAAGTGTTAACACGGCAGTTTTAGCACCTTCGTTTAAATAGGTCCGCTGGCCTGAAACACAACAACGTAGCAGATGCATGTTGACGCCGCGTTCTCTACCCGTGCATCTCGCGACTCCTGTAAACAAACGAATTATAGATAGTTAGACAAAATAAATTAAAATAAAGAGGGATAACAAGAAGAACCTCTCAAAAGGGACTAAAAGGTGTAAAAGGTCGAAATTGCGATTTAAATACTAGACAATTATTTATTTTTTGCTTCATTACTACATCTTAAGCTAAGGCCAACAATGGGCGGACGTAATGGCACTATCTACCAGTCAACCCTTGTCATGTAGAAGGCAGGTGTTAAACAAAGTCTATAAAAATAAAAGTGCTTTAAAATATAGCATTTATATTTTACTATAAATATGGAAATATATATATGTTAAATAATAAAAACCTAGATATTAGGTTTTATTGAGCAGAAAACATATACATAATTATGTAAGATCGATTGTTACAGTAATAAAGAACATTCAAAAGAATAATTTTTAAAATGATATTTACATTTATGGCAAATGGCCAGTATTATATCAATAGAAACATACATATAGTAGAAGTTTCCTAAAGAGGTGCCTCTAATGGACAAGAAACGGGCGAAAGAAACTCCGTAGGTATCCTCTTTTTTGTCAATTTTCTTATGTCTTGGGAGCGATTAATTTTTAAACGCCGTGAAGTATGGATATTTGAGTTTAAGGATCATTGAGTCCCACCACGCTTAGCGCAGCAGAATATCGCATACATATTTAAAGCACATAAATTTCACATCATAAATATTTAGTCACTTTTTATCATCGACGATATTTGGAAAAGTAAATCATGCAAAGATAAGAGTAGAGTAGCATAACTAACAACAAATAGCATCTTTCATATTGATGAAGTTATTTTTAACAAATTATATGACTTATTCAAATGGAAACAATAACGACTGATGGAATGTTATCTTTTTCGCAAACTCTTTTTTTTTCTCTTTCTCTATTTTGCTTTGCTTTAGGCAATGAAAGGGTTAGGATATTTTTTTTTAAAAGCACGAAAAAAGTTTCACGCCGCTGCGGGAATCGAACCCGTCGTCCGGATTCTCGCCCAGAAACTTTAACCAATAAGCTAAACGGCTTTTGACGTTTTTATACAAATTTTAATGTTTTATCTTAAGCGCAGAGAATAGCGTTATAAAAATTGAAATTTCATATATACCAATGGTGAGATCTCTCGTTCAGTTTGAACTGCACGAAACCGGAAGATAAGAGTTCGATAACTTTTATCTTAAGTACAGAGATTAGCACTATAAAAATTTTGTTCTGCACAGACGGTATTGAGGCAAAAACCTCCACGGGATCACACTGTGGATTGACATACTTCACCTATATTCGGAACTTTTGAAAGTTAGAAATAGAATGAATCCGTGGCGCAGTTGCCAAAGTATTGGCTTCGGCGTCGGGGGTCGTGGGTTCGATCCCCATACGGGACAACTATTTGTGTGACCAACAGATAGTTGTTTCGCATCTAAAATTTAGGTTTGTAAAACGTCCTTACAACCCAGGATACTGTTACCCTAAAGTAAAGGCAATGTTTTTTAAAAAAAAAAAAAAGCTTCCGAAAATAGGTATGTCCTCACGATGCTTTACTTCACAGATGAGCTCGTGATATCGCAGCACTCACAATTGCAATATAGATTTTTAATGGTCCCGGCATCGGGATTTGAACTCGGGTGTGTCGAGTATATAATATA